TAGGACTATTTTTAAGCATTTTTCTGTCCCACCATTTCAATGTTTGTCATGATTAAAAACTGTGTTTACAACCTATAATATCTCTCATACAACTACCATCTGAACATTATTAATATACCAAAGTGTTCAAGTATCCGAGAACTAGTTTGAAATAATATTGACTATATATCTAAGATAGCGAAACTACTTCAAGTATGCCATAATTCTCTTAAAGATGAAGCAGGACTGCTCTAGTGATAAACTCATAGAATACAGTATCATTTAATTTTTTCCAATGCAAACTATATAATGTGGAAAAGGAGCCTATAATTAAAAATAAAATTAGGACACTAGACATTGCCACAAATCAATCAAATCTTCTAAAATGCAGACAACTACACTAGCTCTGAAGGTAATTTAAAGTGTGTACCTTGACTGACCCTGAGGGACACGCTTCCTCTCCTGCCCATCTCCATCACCCATACCACAAGTAAGTCTCATTAATGAACAGGTAGGTGTGCTTTCTGATAAAAATGCTATAGTGCACATAACCATGCTAACAGCAGTCCCTAAATTCTAATCTGGAAAAAATAAATAAATGATGGAAATAAAAGTGCTGCTTCAACTTTTGTATCTGGGGCCAAGTCGCTAGGCTGTAATTCATTGGCACAGCTTACCCCTGAGAAGAAACACTAAGATAAATCAGTTTTTACATCATCATAGCTAAATCAGAACTAAACAAAGACTGGCCTAGCTGAAGTTATGGACTGTCTAGCCCTGTTTATCCATCTGGGAAATGTGGACATCAATATTGCCTCTAGGACTGTGGGTACAGCACTTAGAATGGTACTTGGTACTTAAGGAACAGATAATACACATTACCTGCTGTTATTTTATCATCTCATTACTGTCTTCATGACTCATTTCTACAACAAACTATGTAGAGACAACAGTCCTCCATTCAAAGAGAATGAAAACCTTCAATTAGTCAGGCTACGCTGCACTCCTGTGGCTAATGACAGTAGAGTATTTCCAAAATCAGGTACAGCTTCCTTGGAGGGGAGAGGAGACAGGACCTATTGTCTCACAGGGAACGGCACACCCCGAAACATGCCCTCTAGGGAGCCAAGTCGGCTCTATACAAACACATAAATGAAGCCGTAAATAAATGCTACACCAATTACCACTTACTTGCAAAGCACTTACAGGGTAAAGGTTTATAATTCACGCTCCTTTAACTGACTTACTCTTCCAAGTAAACACAGCTGGAGAGATTATTTTGCTTACTCTACGTGCACAAACACTGATTCAGATAACCTGACCTTCCCCAAACTTCTCCTTCGCTCGTGAAAGCCACTGGGCTAAGATAAAAACGTCGCGGAGCGTGTGTGTGACGGGCAGAACAGGAGTCGGCAGACCACGGAGAAGAGGCCAAATGCAGCCCGCACTTGTTTCTGTCAATGAAGTGGTACCAGAACTCCTCGCCCACCCCTCCACAGGGTGTCCCAGGAGGCCTCTGCACTACAGTGGCACAGCTGAGCAGCTGCAACAGAGCCCGCCTGGCCCAGGAGGCCAGATACATCCACTATCTGGTCCTTCATCTGAAAAAGCTTGCCAGTGTTGTTGAGAACCTTTGAAATCAAATGTCAGTTCATTAGGGAATTTCGGTGCATGTGGGTATACCACAGGCAGAGCAAAGGAATAAACCACACAAGAGAACTCCCCCTTCCCTCCTGTCTCCAAGTACAGTAAATTCAGGGTAGCCTCTCCAAATTATTTCATTTGCTGATACAGAACCAAGACATAGAAAGAAAGTTTAAAAGTATACACATTATACTAAGGATCTTTTTTCTGAAAGAAGAAATAGTACTTTCAAGACTCAGGAACCAAGCCTGCTTCATAAAGCACACACAGAAACATACACCTGTATATTGTTTTTTAAATATGTATCTTACATTACATATTCTAATGTTGAGTAGTTTACTGAATCTTTTCCCGCCTACTATGTTTGAGAGTTCACTATGATCTCCAATAGATATACATAAGAAAACTTTAAAGATACAACTTAAATCATAAGTGACATGACAATACTTTCAAAAAAGGAACTGATAAAAAAGATCCAAACCAACAGGATAAATAAGACTGGAAAAGTATTAGGTTTTAGCTTTCTACTGTCTTCGTGTTACACACAATCAAGGATAGCCTGGTACTAAGGAACAGTACTAAGTACTAAGGAATACATAAATAGCAATTTGTTTTCCTGAGTTACTTTATATTTTATTAATTAAAACGTATTTTGATGACCCGTACACAATTAAATATAATAAAATTGCTTAGGAACGGAATTTTAAACATCACTTTCCAAAGCAAGGTTTTCAAATTTAAAAATTGAAAATAACTAGGAATATTATCAACAAACGCCAAGAAAAATCAAAGAAATCATCAAAACACAAGTAAGATAGGAAGAAAACTACTACATCTTCATCATTTCTATCACCAAAACCAAATGATGTTAAAGGAGCCCATTAAATGACTCAACTTTGATTACTTAACTTCCACCCAACTCACGACTTTGTGCAAAACGAAACATTTCCCAGTACCTACTACCCCTTGTATGTGCAAGATACCTTTATAATCTGAAGTACGTAACCACTATTTCAGAAGCGACTTGAAAACCAGAATAGATAACATTTCCAGAACTGTCTTTTTTTTTTCAGAATAGTTTATTAATATAAGAATCTGTTTTAAAAGTAAGTTGTAACACTTCAGAAACAACCATATCATAAAGTCTGATTAACTAAAGTAACAAGACCATTAAAAATTATAAAGAAACATTCAGATCAGTCATATCACCATATTTGATGATTCACCATTTTATGAATAACAAACCTGTATAACACAGTAACAACAACACTCAAGAAATACAAGCCAAGGACATTTGATCATCTTACGATTACATGAAAACAATTTTAGAAAAAAAAATTTTAATTGAGACACTTAAATATATAAAACCTTCAAAATTATCTGTGTTATAGATTACTTAATATTTAAATTACATCAACACAGAAATAAAGAATGACATATTTTACTGTTTGCCAGGACCATGCCCACTTGTCAGCAAGAAACTTGACTCCACAGATATTGTAAAGAGGTACTTCAATGATTCAAAGTTCTTCCTTGAGTTTGTTCTGCCTGATTAATGACCCAAAAGTGAATTATCTGTGCCTTTATGTGTTAACACCTGAAATATATTATCTAATATATAGTAGTTCTTAAGATAAGACCTTAAACATTTGCTTTTAGTAATATTACTTTCATATTTTCCAAGTTTACCTGTATTCAAAAGGTCTTATGTGTATGTTAAGTTTCAACATCAAAGCAAATACTTAGAACAATAGAAATTCAATAAATTCAACAAAGTTCCATAGTTCTAATAACCAAAATAAAAACTAGCCATGCCCGTATCTTAAGCACTTACCATACCACTAATTATAAGACAGACGGAAATGATGAAGACACAAAAGGATACTAACATTGAAACTCAATTTCTTATCAAATAACTTGAACTCAGAACTATTTTATTTCTGTCAAACAGTATGTTATTCTTGGAAACAGAATATGAACCCACATGGTAAGCATTTGAAAAATGATTCAAAAACATGAACTAAATGTTAACTCTTTATAAATAAGATAAAGAACTGTGTTCAGCAAACTGCTGCAGAAAATTCAAGGGACTTGCTCAGATCCACTGGCTTGATTACAGAACAAAGCCAAAGCCGAGCTGAGCACAGGCACGCTCGCAGCTCCCAGCTCGCCGGTAATACCCAGTCACACTCCCTCCCTGGTCCTTCCCCCTGCACTGCTGCGGCACCTCGGTTTTCTGTTCTTCAACCCACCAAGTGCCACTTGCCAGGGGACACATACAAACTGGCCATGGCAAAGGGGACGGAAAGAAAAGGGCCAGGGAAGGAAGGGGAGAAGGGGCAGAGAAGGGAGGAGAGAGGGGAAGACGCTCCAGGAGACCCTCAAAGGCCCTCCTGCTTCCTTCTTAGCGCTGACCCCCAGGCCTGAACCCTAGGACCAGCCCTCAGCTCGGAACCCACCCCCAGCCCAGGTCCCCACCTCCAAGCAAGGCCAGGCCAGGCCAGGCCAGAGCTGAGTGAGGCCCACTCCCAACAAGCTGGGTTGGAACCCTGGACCAAAGCTCTGCTATACAGTAAAGGGACTAGGTTCTAAGCTTGATTCCTATCCGTTTTAGGCCTTTCTCTCTTTGAAAATATGACTAGTTGAGAGAGATAAATGCCCTCCAAATTTTCCAGTTTCACAAGAGTTCACGGACTTCAGCAGAAGCAGTCTTTGCCCCACAGTACTACCACTGCTGAACTTTAGGGACATTACACAGCAAACAGACTTCCTTGCCCACGCAAGGGCCAACGCCTGTGCAGTATTTCTTCTAAGGGAAAGTAGGAGTTCAAAACAATGGTTCTATAAGCAAACTTGTCAAACACAGCCCTCACAGGATATATCAATATACTTCGATGATAATTTCCTCTGGCTATATTACTAAGTAACTTCATGTTTTTAAGAAAGTCCTCCATATTCTAACAGGTATCACTCTTATGCTACAAACAAAGAGGGCAGACTATTAAATTACTATCCCAAAGGTGTAAACACAGTTCCCAAAAAGTATTCTAATGCCAAGCACATCTTTACATTCTATCTTCAGGAAAGGTACTTGTATGATGTTTAATGAATGGAACATTACCCTACTAATAAAGGGACAGTAGCATATAATTAAAACATAGAAGTTATTTATTTGTAATTCACTATATACGTACACAGAATAAAAATCACAGCAGTTTTCTACCTTAATTTTTTCTCTCATTTTATACCACACTGATTTTTGCTGCACTCAACTGACAACTCAGGATCAATAAACTAACAGTAGTGAGGAACAGACATGTCACACGTGTCTACTTATCAAGTGCTTTCAAAGCAGAACTATAGATATGAATACTTACTTATCAAAGCTATCACTATTTTTGATGAAGCTCTCCAGTTTTTCCTTGGCATACTCCACCACATCTGAATGAAGCTCAATCCCATGATTTATTCCAAAAGGACCTGCAATTGTAGCAGCAGCATTTATAAAAAGTATTAAGAATGTCTTTATAGAGCTCTTTTAATTTCTGCTCATTTATCTATCACAGGAGCATTTAAAGAGGGCTTGAAATATGTCTCTGCTAGCCACAGATTTAAAAGCTATATGGAAACCTATTTACACTGCTTTAAAAAAAAATAAGTCACAAAGAGTTCTCTCCAGGGTGTAGCTTATCTGTCAGGACAATACTGCCAAAGAGATAATCATATTTCTATATGAAGTTGAAGTTAATTACCATTATCTTCTCCTTTATCATTTGTTAAAAATTTGGTAATTCTCAAATGTCTGCATCCACGGGCTGACACAGGTATGACAAAGGCCTCGCACAGCACTCCCCACCCCCCCCCACCCCCCCACCCCCGACCCAGTGAATGCTCCTTTCCTCCAGGGCTGAGACCACACCCTCTGCCTCTGGAGCTCCCACTGTCCAGGGGAGTGTGGCGCCGGGCGGAGCTGGTTTGACTCTCCTGTTCCCGCCCACTTTACACCGCTTACTTGGCATTTCTTTTTGCACACAGTCAAGGATGAGTGACAGTCCAGGAACGAGGTACAGGGCAACGACCTAGGGACTGCTCCTTCCCCCACCCTGGTACTGGCTGAGAATGTGACCAACAGGATTCCCGTCTCCTAAGGCTACTGTGTCTTGTGCCTGCCCCACAACCCCACGACAGTAACACACTGTTCTGAGCTAGTCATCTCATTCGTCCCAAACTTCTGAGACTGAGCCAACCAGGTTTTCCATTCTACGCTTTTGTTATATTCCTGTCTTACTTTGAGATTGGTCTCTCAGGAAAAAGTGTGTGTGTGTGTGTGTGTGTGTGTTATTTTCTGTATCTGGTATGTATCTTAGGAACTACTTAACTGGATGTGCCCCCTACTGAATGCCATTAAAAATACAACATATACTGGAGTTCTACCGACCTCTAAGAACTTTAAAATAACAAAAAAATCGGTCCTCAATTAACATTTTTGAATGTACAGGGGGGCACATGAAACTACCGGTTTGTAATCTAGGAATTACCTAACTATAAAAATTAAACCAAAATGTTCAGATACTATCTTCAGGTCAAAAGCAGATAAACCTACTATATTTCTATTGCATTTGATTAATTAAAAAAAAAACTGATTCTACTTGGAAAATGTATTCAGATTAAAAAAAAGATTAGATAAAAAGGTCCATGAGACCACAACACTTATAGCATTACCTTCCTTTGAAATGCTTTATACTTTTTTAAATAAGTTATTCTGATCAGTGAAATCTTAAATGTTTTGCTTCTCATTTTTTGTTTCCTTACTGTCAAACCATTAGTCTTCATCTGCTAACTGGGACACCCATCCAATATCTTTTAAGATCTCTTGTAATTCCTTAATATTACCAAAGACAAATTGCCAAAAACTAGAATTTCCTTTTTCAAAAAACAAACGAAAATGGCACAAAAAAAATAAACTTAGAGAAGTACACGTAGTAACGTCACTTTTTAATTTAGTATTGAATCTGACTATTTTGAAAACTTGAATTTCCGTAAGGAAACAAAAAAGGCTAGGAAACACTGAGTAAAGTTTTCCTCACTTAAAAAAACTCAAATTACACTACAGTTACTTAACATTATATACATAGTAAGGAAAATATTGCTCTAGGAAATGAATCTAATTTTCCTTCTACCCTTTTAAGGTAATCCACTGAACGTAAAACATAATATGGAGACTTTTTTCATTTTAAGAATCTAGTTATACTCATCAACCATCTGGAAAACAAAATGAGGGCTATATGGATGAGAGGTCAATAAAAAAAGGTCACTATTGCTGGGGCTGAAGCTTCCAATAGGACCGAATGGATAAACACTATAATAAAGGCGGCAAGTAGAGAATGTAGAAATCAAGGCTTCTGCTCAATATTTCAGACTGCCTTAGTAACAGAGGGCGTCTGAACTTAAGAGCTCTAAGTCAAAAGGGACTACGTAGGCTGCTTGTCACTCAAGACACCACTGGTCTCATTTTCCTTTTCTTGCTTTCTGCTTATACAGTATCTAAAAGCAAAGTGGCACCTTTTGGAAATAAGGTTTAAAGTTTGTTAAGAAAATTTCTTAACGTTGTTTTTCACATCACCTTGACACAAAATAAAAACAATTTCATTAACATACAATGGATTTGTTTGATAGTATCATAAACACACATGTACGATATACTATCATTAATTTCTAGTACAAACACCATTCATGACTTTTTAACGGGTGGAATTGCTTAATTTTAAAATATCATGGAGATATATCTTTAGTTATCACTAATAAACTGAACAGTAATTAACATGTTGAAAAAAATAAATTGAAAAGAATGCATTAATAGAAGGCAGAACTTAAATGGCAATGTCACCAGTATCTCATTTATTTAGAATGTGATATACAACTAGAACACATCAAGCATATGATAAAACTGCAGTGCGATGCTCTTTATTACAACTCATTTGACACCTGTATTAAATAGAACGGAAGAATAAAACACAGAAAACTAAAAAAGCATACACAGCTGCTTCTAGGGAAGGGGACTAAGATGCCTGGGGTGGGAAGGAGGCATTCTCACCATTACACTCTATTGTCTGAAGTGTGTCTTAACACATGCATGTATAACTTTTTCGATCAAAAAGTAATGAGCTTAGTCAAAGAGATTTTTAAAAAAAGTACAAGATTTTCAAATAAATAAGTAATGTACAATAATTCTAATAGAAAGGCATAATAAACTGTTGCTGGAGAAAACTGAAATGGCATCCAAAAGACGAGAGCTTAAGACTCCCTATCACCATCTAACAGATGAAACGTTAATTTGACTGTGCTGAATAGATGCCAGCGTTATTTTGTATGTGCCAATGTGAAGAGATTTTTCTATGAAATAATAAAAGCTTAATTTTTGTCATATAAATTCTTAAAAAATCAAAGTACTGACAGGTGACCACTATCTTTAATTGCTAAATACTAAAGAGAAAACAGAAACTTACACAGAAGTCAAAGTTTATTAAGACAAATACAGGTATTAGAAAAGCATAGGTATCCTATATTAGAAATTATTTTTAAGGCTGGCAAAAGTCCATTTATTAAGAGCAATAATATAACAAAATTCCTATATAACAAAATAATCTAAAGACTGTTTTTCTTTTGTAGTATTTGGACCTAAACCAGCTTATTTATTATCTTCCAGCTAGTCAATAATGAGAGCTTATACATAAAGGTCGCTGATTATTAGGTCTAGTGTCTAGATCAAGTGTCTATCAACACCTCCATTTCTTACCTACATGGCTGCTGACCCTGTGTGACGCCCAGCACCCCACGCCCCCTCTGAAGCACCGAGTGTGGTGTGCAGGCCCGGGCACCTGAGAGCTGCACAGCACCCGGGATGCCTGGTGTCCTCCGTGCTGCGCGGAGAGCTAATCCGTGGAACAGCCACAAGCAAAAAGCACCTCACAGTGCACAGCACATAACCAGAGGAGCTCTGAAGATGAACAAGTCACAGTCCGTGTGAGACCGAAGCACTGCGGGGTGCTGAGAAACCGGGTGGATTTAAGGCCAGTGCCTTCGTTTCCAATCCTGGCTCCTGCTACAGCTGTATCATCAGACCAGTCACTTAGCATGTGAGGTCTTTCCTACTGTATGGAATGGGTCTGTGGGAAAATCATGTAAATTATGTAAAAGTCTTTCACACACCATAAAGTACAAGATGGGTACAAATCATTAGAAATTATAACATGCTCTCCCCTTGAATACAGAACTGGTTAACTGTAGAAGCAAAACTGCAGCTTATAGGTGGTTCTCTACCCTGACTGCATGTTAGAATAACCTGTGAATTTTAAAATCAAATTTCAAAGTCGATTAAATTTAATTTGATTTAAACTGTAAACAGGGGGAGGGAATCTCTCAGGGTGAGGCCCAGGCTCTGCAGGTGACTCTAACAAGGCAGCTTGGGTTGAGCACCCTAGCTACACCCTCCTAATTATTGCCATGCCCAATCTAAATGACTTTTTAAATCTCTTTGGACTATTCAAATCTGTGCTCTCGTTTGCTAAAACGATAATCAAGAGTTAATAACTACAAATAAAAGCATCGGGATAAAACTAAATATTTACCACAAGAGGGAGTAGGTGAATCAGTTATTCGGTTTCCATGAAATTAGCATAAAGTTTCTCAGTGAGAATTAAAAGTCAACCTTCAGTATTGGGGCGGGGGGGGGGGGGGGGGGGGTTGGTTCCAGGACCACCCCCTGCAAATACCAAAATCTGTGCAACTCAAGTCCCTCATATAAATGGTAGTATCCGCGTGCACCCTGCACATCTGTACATCCTCCCCTAATCATCTTGACTACTTGTAATACCCAATACATAAATGCTACGTATAGGAAATACAGCGTAAATGCTATGTATATAGTTGCCGGCACGTGACAAATTCAAGTTCTGCTTTTAGGGACTTGCTGGACTTTTTCCCCTCAATATCTTGATGCATGATAGATGAATCCATAGATGCAGAACCCGTGGATACAGAGGACCAACTGTATATGTAAAAACACCTTTAAACAAGTTACAATGATATTTTATTACTAATTCCAGTTGAATAAAGTAGGCATCTTTGGGAAGATTTACAAGTAACTTTAGAAGAATTCAGAGATGGTAACAGGTGAAAAGCAGACAAGAATAGGTTTAATTCCTTCTTTCCATGGACACCCTGGGGTATAACGCCAAGAAACAAAATACTGCAAAGGTAGATGAAGAAAAGGGGAGAAAAAATGAGATCAGCAAAAGATTAAGTAACCGATAACCAGATAAGAGAAACTGATCGAATGCATTTCCACTTACGATATAAATATTTTCTTATGGTTCTCCGCCTTATTATATCACGTTACCAAAGCATATTAACAAAAGACACTGTCAAACATTTACTGAATCTTGCCATGTTAAGCTTAAAATTCTTTAGCTAGTGGGACA